TACATGAGCTTGATCCAGCTCACTGGTGACAAACTGGGTGCCATCGTATCACTTTTCGTTCTAGAAAAATGACAAGAATGTGCGATTCATGCAGAGGAGTGCGGGGGTGTTTCGTACATCCACATTCCTGGCAACTTAGAGGGTCGGAGCGTAAAAGAATTGCATCTGCGCTCCCGTCGAAGAGTAAATCAACTGCATCATTAAGAATGTCGTGCTGTTCGTTTGTCCGTAGTCGTACGCTAGGTAGAGTGAAACCATGCTCATAGGAGCAACCATGAGAAAAAGGTGCAAGTGGAGATGAAGAGCCCCAGGCGCACTTTCTTACTGTTTAAGCGCTCACTTTTGCGTAATGTCAAGAGCGAAAGTGAGCACCAAAGTGCGATCCATATCTAGGTGCGAGAGGCTGGACAAAGTACGAACCGTAATTACGGTGTACTTACACATACATGATTGTGCAAAATTCTAAAGTCTAAAGCAATGGAGCTGGTAAAACGAATAGACTTCGTCGAGGACGGAACGCGAGCTGCTTGCCCCGAGTACTGCAGTATACATATTCGTTCGGTGAAAAGGTTTAAATGAATATGTCTAGTGTTAGCTTGCATCCGACTTACATACCACTTGATGAGAAACGAGCAGAACTCAGTACAAGAGCACCCGAGAAGCTGTCAGTTCTGCTTCTATATTAGGCTTACGATCTCATGATCCGTGCGATGCGGACTCGATATCAAGCCTTTTTGTAAAAAAGCGCTGTTCACAACTCTCCTTCAAACACAACACACACGTTTGTGCGACGATGAAGCGATTTCCAACGTGGAGTAGAAGGACAGTCCCGACTTGGAGGGAAGAAGAACGACTCGAGACCTTGAAGGAAAATTTGCAACAAAATTCAAATGAGTTAATGGTTCCTAGCTACATGCAAAACATCCCAACGGCTCTTAAAGGCCCTTTATTCTTATAAATGTTTGGGTTTCTGATTTATACAATTAAGGGTGCATTGAGGTTGTACCACAAGTTTTTGGGTGTACGGAGCTTCGACTTCGAAAAGCTTGATTTTCAACTTTCATTGAAAGTATCCTGCAGAATTGACTGGCTTACGCCACCCACTTCGAAAGACAGAGACACGTCGGTCGTCGGCTCTCGCTTTTTGTATAGAGGAAGCTTTGATTTTAAGGGTCCGCATGAATAAATGCACAGAGGTTGGGTTCTACTACCATGACCGAAAGCGAGAGCCCTAACCGTAAGTAGTTGTCTGGTTAGCTGTGCTTTTTTCAAGAGTGCATGCATTTGAATCAATGCTTCTTAGACAAACACGATATATATATTACAACCACGCCCATATTTTGGTACTTGTGTATATCTAGAATTAAGTGAACTTCGTACAAGTCCACGAAATGTGTCAAACACAAGGTTACGATATTCACTCTTCTAAATTGGAGCCGGTAAAAGGTGCGTAAAAGTTGACCTTGCGATGCACCTGTCACTAAGATAACTATATGAAGGTCGGCCTCATTGAGCGCTCAGTTGGTGCATGTCATGGTGTGTTGCAGAGGATTTGGAAGTGACTTTATAATACATCAACGCTATTGCTTTAAATAGTGGTTGTGTACTACATATATATTTTATAACAGTGAGTTCATTGCGTACTACATACAACATACACCCTGCTATATACTAAACCATTGTGGGCTCTGAAGCTACCAAAAATAAGCCAAAAAGTCGACGTCGTGGTCGAGCGCTGATCCTTTAAATTCAGTAGCGACTGGTCATTTTTAACTCTATGCGCACCGGGCTGCCTACTGTACAAGATCATCACAAGGACCTGGTAAGCAGCAAAAATTGTAACAGCAGCAGCGATACCCGTGCGTGGCGTCAATCGCTCTCACTCTTTCGGCGTGACAAAGGCAAGTCGTGTGCATTCGCTCCGACCGATTGGACGAGAAAAAACGCGCATACCTCGACGATACGACCAACAGCGTCCACCTTCGCGCTGTCTTGGACGTGCAAACCCGGCGAGCTGCGGAAGCTGTATCACACCCAACTACCATGCATAAACAGCGATAGTAGTGAGTACAATTCTGGCAGTAGCGACCTAGATAGCTTGAATATGGAAGACCAGCTCAGTACCTTTGTGGAATACGTGCGTTTAAAGAAGATTGGGTGATGCGTCTAGAATCGATGTAATTGTATATTTGTGTGATCACGGGTAGAACGCAGCGGACGTGGACAGCTTGGATATAACTCCGAGTCAAGACTTTGATGGTGTTTAACATGTCGTCTTTTTCAAGTTGTTTATACTCATGAAGCGTTATAATTTTTTCTTGTTGTTTTCGTAGGTGATTGTCCAGACATCGCTTCGTCGCAAGTCTCGCAGTCTTTGCAGACATGTAGTTGGAAAGACGTCACTGATGGTACCTTGTTTTTGTAAATTCCCTCATGTAATCGCAGTGATTGATCAATTTGCGCTTGCTGATGTGCAGTAAACCAATTTCAGGAAGAAGCATCGGAAGTTTTTGACGGTGCGTTATCAAATAGAAATGTCTGTGCTTGTACAGACAGACTCATCTTTGTCTTCTTTAATGCAGATATAATATATGAACCTCCACCAGATCCAGAATTTTGTCGCGGTAGCGCTATAAAAGAACGACGCGACGCTGAAACTGCACATTCGATGCATCCGATGGTCAACAATACTTCTGAAAAGCTAGCATTCGTGTGCGACGACAGTGAGAGCTCGTTAAGCGGTAAAATTGCATTTGGTCAATTAGTTTGCTGTCATGAAGCTGATTTTAGCTTAATTTGTTCTGTCAGATGGGTTTGACGTCGCACTAAATCTCACAAGCAAGCGAAAGGCCAATTCTGATCGTTTCGATGATATCGGCGCAAATAAAACGCCAGAAGCGAAGGTGTGATGCAATTTACCAATTTAATTATAAATGGGTAGCTTTTACTTGTACATTGCCGCAGTGGAGACAACGGCGATCTATAAAGCGAGATAGCTCGTTTGTCGATACTGCTAACAGTTGTTCAGGGAACCAACGGCTTTCGATGATGGCTTCACCCCACCCTGCTACCACAAGTGAAGTCGAAAAGGCAGCTGCTGATGGCGTAATTGAATTAGAGGACTATAGTTTTGACTCGAATGATGACTCTAAAGATGGTCTTAAGAGAGCTCGCAATGCGTGTAACAGTATTCTGATGCAGTCAGGGGCAGTACCGGCTGTAAGTGGCAAAGTACCAGTCAGTTCTTCACCGGTCCCATCAACGGCGCTATATTCAGATGCATCTCAGCCTCGTTTTGTAAGAAAGAGAAGAAAACTTGGTCAGCTTACGCTTGATGCTTTCCTTCGGCAAAATGACTAAAACATGCGTTAGTTTGACACCAGCATTTTTTGTTTTAGCCACAAAGTTCTTTCTTACAATTTTGAGCTTGCTGTGTCATCGTACTTTGAATGGTAGTTACGGTACCATGTTGTGGTTTATGGCGCGAGTGCAACTAACAAAGTCTTTACCTTGCTAACCTCTCATTCCTCAAACACCCCCGCTGTAGCGACATGGCGTACGTTACGCTTACTAACATCACTGTGCTGGACAACCCCACAGCATTTACGAATCCCTTTCAGTTTGAGGTCACATTTGAATGCGCACAACCGCTTGAGGCCGGTACGTACAAAGTTCCGATATTTGTCAATCAGATCCCAATTAATGAATCGTAAATCAACACTGTAATCTGCTACAGATTTGGAGTGGAAGATTACATATGTTGGTAGCGCAGAGGATGAAAGCCGCGACCAAGTGCTTGAAGAGGTACTAGTTGGTCCCGTGCCCGTCGGCACCAACAAGTTTGTTTTCCAGTCCGATCCGCCCAACCCTGACATGATTCCGGACGAGGACAAGGTTGGTGTCACTGTGGCGCTCGTCACCTGCTCATACCGTGGACGTGAATTTGTACGAGTGGGTTACTATGTCAATAACGACTACGCCGATCCATTTCTGCTAGAAAATCCACCCGCTCGAGTGGATGTGAGCAAGCTACAGCGAAATATTTTGGCGGACAAACCGCGTGTCACGCGCTTTCCTATAGATTGGTCGCCAGCTGGCTCACAGAGTCTCAGTGCTATGAATGATGGTAACAGCCCAGTGGTCAATGATGCTGGTTTTAGTACTATGCAGACTGGTTTACCTGGTGTTGGCAATGACCTCGATATGGACTTTGTCGACGATGAGGAACTAGTCAAAGCAGCTGCCCAGCTTGACCATAACTACACGGATATTGTTATCGATGGCGCTGCTGCCGACGGTATGGAAGAGGAGATTGATTTGGAAGAAGAAGACGATGAGGCGGACTCTGTCGAAGAAGCGGAGGAGGAAGATATTGATGGTGACATGGAAATGGAGGATATTGAGTAAACAAGTTTGTTGTTCAAGATAGAGACACTAGCCTGTACATAAGGCAGCGAATAAGCAGGACAAAGTTATCGTATTTATAGAAAGAGGCTCAAGATCCTTTGAATGGCGACAAGTGATCTGAGTAACCGTGCGTTCTGCACAGGAATGACAAAAATGAAATGAGTTTTATTGCATCGAATGAAAGTCTAGCCTGGAGACTAGATCTAAAATACAACAAAGTTAAAGTACGCTAAAAAGAGCATGAATCGTGAATGCTTTTGCAAACTCTAGCGAAGTTTGAACTCATGCAGGCGATTGTAAGAGCCGCTGCCGCCATCAAAGCGCACGTTTATGTCAATATCCAGGTCGCGAGGATTGGATGCGTTGGGCTTGCACGTCAGCTCACCTTCAATCACCTCGCCAGGGTGACATGCAAGCTCGCCCTCCAAATAAAACACAGTCTGCTTCCAGTGCGTGTACTCAGCCTTGGGGCCAGTGGAGAAGCTCAGCTTTTTGTGTGTTGCCGAAAACATGCAATCAAAATATGCCACAAGCGCATGGCAAAAATCCTGGCGGAAGGCAGTCAGTTTGAACGAAGATGAGAAATTAAGTTCCTCTTTAGTAACTTTGGTCAGGTCAATGTCGAGTATCGGGCAAACATCAGTGAGCAAAGCGTCACTGCTGACGGTGTCAACCAACGGCTCTATCTTGGCAATCTCTTTGATGCAGCTCATATCAAAGCCGTAGACATTGTCCCAAAAGTCAAGCTTCTCGGTCTTGTACTCTCCATCCTCAATGGCTCCAATAAAGAGTGTGGCATGGTCCGGAAACATAAGTCCACCGGAGACCAGATACTTATCACGTGCATAAAGCACTGTGTCTAGCATAGATTCATAAAGCAGGAAGTAGCCCATCCACTCCGAAATGATGATGTCCACATTATCCACCGGTAGCGATAGTTCTTCCATCTTGCCCTGGATAAGTGTGATCTTGTCAGCAAATCCGTTAGCCTTGACAATGTCGCGGGCCTGAGTTAAAATATTCGAGCAGTCGACACCATAAACATGTTTCGCACCAGCTTTGGCGGCAAACATTGAGAGAATTCCGGTACCACACCCGACGTCGAGAACGGTCTTGTTCTTGAAGAGATGTTTGCTTTGCAAAATGGCGTTCATGTAAGCCTTTGTGCGCACCGTATCCTTCAGCATCTCTTCATGTATACCAAAGTGTGAGTACGAGTCAAAATAGTAGTCCTTGCTTGTCATTACAGTAGCGTTATCATTAGACACAGAGGTGAGCGATGGCTTTAAGGTCGACATTTTCGTGACTGATCAACAAATCGATTGGAGAGCCCTATGCAGTCACTGTCGCGAGGTCATATGGCTCAAAGGAGAGCCTTGACATTCATGTGAGAAGTAGAGTTTGCAGCGTGAGCCTACTGCAATTTGAGTTACTGTCTACTCTACCACAGCTAAACACTGGTATACTTTTACCAATTATAATAGTAGACGACATTTGGAGACTTCCCTCCTCCAAGACTGATCTCTATTGAGTTCGTTTAACATTAAGCCGACAGTATAAACTGCGTTCGTTTCAAACTAATGTTCACACCATCGCTCAAAGGCAATAATGAAAGAAGCTTCTTTGCCGATGATCGGCATTAAGATGGTATGTAAATCTTCCAAGTAGTGCTGAGACTTGACAGACGACCCAACTGACTTAGATGGCACCGCGGTTGCCAGACTTTTTCTGAGCGCGCGGTGCGTTGGATCCTTTCGCTCCCTTGTTAGCGTGCTCAACTTTGGTGACCGTCTTTTTCATCTTGCTACGCTCCTTAGCCTCCTTCAAGGCGGCACGGGCAGCAGCACGAATCTCCGGCTTCTGGTTACGCTTCTTGCGAATCTGTCCCCAGTAGTCAACCAGCACGAAGTAAGATACTGCGTGGATGACCACAGACGATTCGAATATAAGATAAAAACTTACGTCATCGGCCGAGACACCAACTATGGCACGCTGGATCTTAGTGGTTTTGCGAGCGCGACGACGAGAAACTTCTTCAACCTGTAAACCGGAAAATTATTATTAAAATCCAGCACGTTAATCACAACAAATTCCAAAATAAACCTTGAGTTTCTTGTTCATGCGGCGCCAGCCGAGGGTCCACACGATCTTGGTAGCCTTCTTGCGCTGCAAAAATAGCGACTTGCTCTTTGCATTGATGAATACGTATGCAGATCCATCGCGACGGATGTAACGCGAGCCGTGACCAGGGTAGATGCGGCTTTCGCTGAATGAGCAAGTCTCGGTCCTGGAGCCAGAACGATTCTTAGTTAATCATTTGTCCACATCCACAATTGCTTGTTTATTATTTCTAAAATGTCCGATCCCCTGGAGCGACAGAGAGGCCGTTGTTGCTCCGCGGATCGTTTGTGTCGAGGGCTCCGATGATCACTGTCAAACGTTCACTGATCACAATTCATACGCTCGCTGCGTACCATATGAGCCTGAAGTCTTCGTGACATGTGTAACTCTCTCTCGCTCCAGCATATTTGTTATGTGTGTCATCGATAAAGAGGTGCTTACTTACTTGATCACCATTTTGCCTCAGTCTTCTTGGGAGAATTTATGCCAATTGACTCAATGCAACGATCTAGCATGCTAAAGCTACTTCATTCTTGCCACTTTAAATTGGCTGGCTAGAAGACGTTTACTTAGCTACAACATACGCGTTACTTTTATCAACAATATCAAAATATGTCACTAGGACATGATTTTATGTGACTAATAAAGTATCTCGCCACAGATTGCATGTATACAATTTTCGAATCCTCTTAATGAGAATAAAATATAGCTGTGAAATACGAGTTGACACAATCAAAACTATACTACAGATATAAAATAGTAATGTGCGATCATAAAGACATTTACTGTGCAGATCGAATAAATCTTTTCTTAATAAATGTCGTTTTTTTTCTGATCACGTGAGAACGAATGCGCTATACTCGCTTGGCACGATATCATGTCAATGCAAAACAAGCTGCCAAATTACGTCGCAGGCAAAGCTCCAACTTGAATTTCGCCCCTATACAAACCGTGCAGTCGTCTCCCTATGCTCAAACGCAGACAACTCACGAAACTGTAAATTTTGGCCTCGGTCAGCCCTCGGCCTCCCAGCTGCCTTTGGGCATGTTTCGCGATGCTGCATTGAACCGTCTGAGGCTAATTCAAGACCCAATGGTACTTCAATATGGCATTGCTTCGGGATTTTACGAATTTAAAAAGGAGATTGCCAACCTTGTGACAGGTAAAAGGATCAGTACAAGTGGTAGTGGCGACTGACAAGCGCTTTGCTATCTCATAGGGGGTGATAATTCAAAGAGTGTCAACCCAGAAAGACTAATGGTAACAGCAGGCAATTCACAAGCCATATCCCACACTGCCATGGCATTTTCCAAGACCAACAAGCTAGTTTTTGTGGAGGAGCCGACCTATTTCTTAGCACATGATATATTTCGAGAGCTGGGACTGGAATTAAAGGGTATTCCGGTTGGGGAGGAGGGAATTGATGTAAGTATCGCATGCTTGGAAAAATTTGATGCATAACTTTCCTAAAGAGAGTTGCATGTATTAAAGCTGAACGTGCTCGAAGCTGAGCTGGCCGTGGGAAATATTCCGGCATTCTTGTATACGGTTCCGTTTTTTCATAACCCAACGGGTAGCGTGTTGTCGCCGAACCGTTGCAAGCACCTTGTAGCCCTTGCGCAAAATTACGGGTTTCATATTATATCCGACGAGCCCTATAACTTACTGCACTTTGAAGTCGATGCCTTGACATCACTTGCAACATACGACGACTCCGGTTTGGTTGTCTCACTTGGAAGCTTTTCGAAAATTCTTGCTCCAGGTCTTCGCCTCGGTAAGGAAACAACATATACATGCAGTCTAAAGTCTTATTTTCTTAGCTATACTGCTTTTCGTGTAGGCTGGGCGCAAAGCAGCGTCGAGACTATCGAAACACTCTCTACTATAGGTGTGCTTCGTAGCGGTGGCGGCCAGAATCCCATCACCGCAGCTCTCGTTCACGCAGGTAAGCGTATGTTTAAGTTTTGCTGTGGTACGCTTTGCCGTAAACAGCTTTTCATTTGACTATACTTCCTGCTGTGTTTGATGGCTGTCGTTGATACAAGTAGTCTTGGAGCAAAAGAAATTGTACCCGCACATCGACGAGTTAAAGAAGATTTTGCAAGCTCGGAAGGCCGCGATGTGCGAAGCATTGCGTGAGTACTGCCCGGACTCCGTATTTACTGAGCCCTCTGGCGGGTACTTCTTGTGGCTCAACCTGCCGAACGGTGTGCATACTGAAGCTCTGCTAAAAGAAGCTATGGTCTGTCACGGTGTAGCTTTCACACCCGGGAACCGGTGCTCTCTCGGTGAGACGGACGGTAATGGAATCGATACGGCGTTGACTCGCTGCGCACGCCTATCATTTGCCTTTTACAACGAAGATGAGATTCGCATAGGCATCCAGAGGCTGCAGAGCGCCCTCAACAGCCTAGCGTGTTATTAAAATAACTCATTGCCAAAAGCATCATCAGCAGTTTTTGATATAAAATACTTAGCAGCATACCTCCAGATTTAATTTCTCGTATTGTTATACAAACTTATGTTTTGCAATTGAGTGGCCAACCTTGGTAATTATTAAAAAATATTATGCTCAATCGGCAGACAGCCACCCTGCACAAAGTTGACGTAATACATCGGTTGTGACAGGTCGTGTTGATCTACGTACGCTGACTTTAAGGCGATTTGTCATCTGACTTCGGTAATGGGCTGTAATGGTACAAAGAGAAATAATCTTGTTGCAGCTCATCCATAATGTGTGAAGAACTCAGCAGCGCAGTGTGTTGAGAATACGAAGCAATACCGCAAGGCCAAGATGGGCGTGTTGAAAACGAGAATTCTTTAGGAGATAATAGCACATGGGCCTCATCGAATTCACTCCAAAATTGGTAAGTGCAATGCTACAACCCTATTGCCATATAACAGTATAAGACCAGTGAGGAGGGTCTCGGAGCATGAACACAGTAAGTGCAGCGGGGCTGCCGTAGCTCATCCACATAAAGGAAGCTTGGTTAAGGTCGGGTCCCTTCGCTCTATATTTAGAGCCAGTACGAGTGTAGCAGATCGCAATCAACTTACTCGGAGAGTAATTACAACCTTAATCCACGGCTAATCAACCCTTACGAAACTCTATTCTCGGTTTAAATTGCGGCGGAGCCACCTTATCTAAATCTAAAGGTTCACATATCTATATAGGAAAACCTAATTGAATGTATAACTACTGGCTGAACCAGCCACGTACTGACTTCGTGTTTAAGTATAGCCACATCATTGCGTGGTCACGCCATCTTGTGTTACCACACCCACACCCTTCATACCAGGGCACGTAAGAACCCCGTTACACTCTCCCCCATCAAGATTGTGAGCACCTACAGTTCACATTCAACTGTCGCCTCAAACGAGACTCGAGTTTACAAAGACACCAGAACCTTCTTCACAAATTCTCTGCTCAATTCGCTCCCTGTGTCGAGGACACGGTAGACAGACAGCCTTGCTGGTTACGAGAACGCCCGCAGGCAGACTTATCTCCGTCTCCTTCACTCGGTGCAACTTTGGACACCACGTTCGCGGCTCGAAGGGAAGCGCAGCCCAAGCTCTCGGTGACCGAGTACCGCGCAGTGTATTGTCAGCGACAGAGTCGAACGACCAAGAACCCAGACGCAATGTCTACTCCCGACCACGCACCGCGCCCCCCCCACAGGCGATGGATTACCTCCTCGAGGATACATGGACGTCGAATAAGACTTTCCCAGGATGGGAAGCAGAAGAGGGCGAGTTGTCCCAGCGGTGCGACGTGAGCCCTGCTCGAACTTTGCGGATGTGATGTACGTTTCCCGAACTCTCGGCATCCGGGGGATGTGGTGTCACTACCAATGACCTCGACGAGGCACTGAAGCAGCAGCTGGATGCTGTCAGCAGGGTGCCTCCCATGCGCGCGCATACACAATCGGTTCCCTAACCCATTGTGGAATACGGATTCTGCTCGGCGGATCCCGCTACGGAAGCGAAGGACGCGATCACTCGATTGCTGATCGTCTACGTGGTTGGGCCCCGAGCATTAGACAAACTGAGCTTGACGGACAAAAAGCTCTCCAAGCTTGCTTCTTGAGTCGTCAAAAAATTCCAATGGAGACGTACCGCACTCGACTCCGTGCTTAAAAAGAAGGTGCTCCTGGACCCGCGATGCGGACGATTCCTGTGATGCTCACCCCTGGAAAAACCGCTGCGGATGATGTAGAGATCTTTAAGCGGCGGTTGCAGCGGTACCGAAATCTTTATCGCTGTAATACTTCCAGTTGAGCCACGAACAGGTGAACGCGCGCGTGGACCGCCATCTTCGGTTTGAGTTTGCCAAACTCGAGGCGCCTTGCCGACTTCCTTAGGATCGTCGCCCTGCGACGTATGGATTAATCCATCACGCTCCCGCGAGCTCTGTGATCTCTCACACGGGTGAGTTGTGACCGCAGCAGCTCAGGGTCATAGCTTGAGCTCAGCTCATGGCCCTTCGGATTCCACGGCTATTTCCGTGAAGCGTAGGGCGTACGATGACGCGGAACGTCATTTCCCTCTGTCGTCGACGTCTGGGCAGTCTTGTCGAAGTAGCACTTTAAACTCACGCGAATTCTCGAAGTCAGGGTATCCCCGCCACTTCACAAGATACTGGGTTTGACTCTCGCGACGACGTCGACCAACAAAACTCTCCACGTGATTGTGAGCACCCCCATTTTTGTCGAAAAGGGTTGGCGGCGGACGATGACGACTGGGTCGATCGTCGTCAGGTGACTCACGATGCTCTTCGGGCTCTTGGGGCTCTTGGGGTGGAGGTCCGTCACGATCGGGATCCGCCGAGCATCATGCTGGGGTCGCATACCGCTGCGCAGAGACCAAGGGAGGTTGGAGCACTTTGCGCACCTGCCTCACGCTGAGAAATATCGCGCTCTCTTGGAGCGGCTCCTAGCCATTGAGTAGAAGAATGCATCACTCCATGCGACGGTGGAGTGCTTGGTGCCGCTGGAGATGGAGATTATTGCACATCGTGCTCAAAACTAGTTGCTGGTCCAGCTTCTGGGTGATCGAGCGTCTGTGGACGCCGTTCTGGCACCAACGC